CTGGCCACAAGAAACTGGAAATTGTAAACGCGTACGTGTGATTGGTTGATGATAGAAACGCGCTCAACTTGCTAACCGATAGCGCTTGCTAACCGTTAGCGGTATCCGGATACTGCTAACGGCCAACTCAGACAGCGTAGTACGACGCAGCCCGACGCCATTTATCGTCGGGGACAGTCTTTAAGCCATCGTGAGAAATATTAAACATGTTATATTCTACGTCTGCTTTTAACTCACACAGACCCGACGCGACAACAAATCGCGTCGGGCTGCGTCGGACGACGCTGTCTGAGTTGGCCTTAACGGTTATATATTAGCGCTGACCGATCGGGCATTCTCACGCAGGTGCTAACGGTTAGCGCTAACGGTTAGCTACAGATCTGGATACTAGGGCTCTCGTGAGAACCACCAGATTATGTTGATGAAGCAGACGATTACCAAACCGACCACCAAACCAGTAATTGACCAGAGTTTCGATAAATTAACAGCATTCAGTGCGCCGACATTATCTCCACGGTCCAACTTCCTTGAGCCCTGAAAAGAAATAATAGACCTGTCAAACAAATAAATACTTTTATCCGGTATACCACTGAATGATGGTAGCAAATAAAAGGAGTCATATAAATTGCCTTGAGAAAATGTAAATGCTCTTCAGTTCTAATATGACATATTGATTACCACTATCACCGGGAAGTTGGGGTGGAGGGGGTGGGGGGAGGTTCATGCGGGGCCAGTGCCCCGAGACAAAACATGGTTGGCTCTGTCCCACCAAGAGTACAATGATTTCAAACACAAATTGTGACATCGTAATGTAAAATATTTGTGTTCACTTACATCAACACTGTAAATAATTCCAATGATTCCAAATGGCGAACAGAAAATTATTGTCACAAAGATAGAGAGTAGTAGGTAGTTTTTATTTTTTCTCACAAGTTCAACCAAATGCCTACTTGTACTATCAACAGGCTGCATATTTTCACGGCTGTAGGGGAACAGTTGATCGTATGTAGGAGGTGGAGTCTAATTAAAAAAACAAAGAATGTGTTATACCTAATATAAGAGAAATATAGTGAAAGAAAACTGTTATTAGTATTACAGTATTACTAATATTGTTGTTATTATTTTCATTATCAATAGTATTATTATTATTATCATCATCATTATTATATATTTATGTAAACATAATATGTTTACATAAATGTTAATTCATTTATATTTATTCAATAAATATTTATTCATTCATTCATATTCATTTGTTCAATTATTGATTTATTCAATGGAACCTAAAGAAACACTTACCTGTGGACCTCTAGAAGCATTTGTTTGTGGAGTGTCTGAAAAATATAGTAAATAGATTACATGAAAAGAGCAGTGTTCGAATATGATGTTAAAAAAGTTATATAGCGTATATCAACGAAAACGTTCCTTAAACAATTATGAAAAATGTCTCCAGTGGGAACCTAGGACGTCTCGCTATCATGGCTAGACCACGAGAATCAAGGATACCAATTGCTTTTCTCTCAGAATTATTTCAACTAGTACACCTTTCTATATGCACTCACAAAGTGCGGTTGTTGTAAGGCTTGAGAAATCCCCATCTAGTCACTTTTGAAAATTATATAGTAGGCCTAAATCGACATATTTGAATCAGTCTTTCCATCATGCGATCTCACTGGAGCGGCAGAAATATCTTAATTACAAATAAATCAGTAATTCATCCCGACGTGGAACACAGAAACAGCAAACTGAATAATGCAACGGATAATAAGTAGGGAAAATTAATTGAAGAGTACCAGGTTGAAAAAATTAGCCATCTTTATTACTGACCACAAAAGTATATTCGTCTGGGAGAAAAAAAAATATAGGCCTAGGGGCCTATATATATTTTCAGTAGAAGCTGAAAGCGATTATCGTAATTAAGCCGTTGAAACTCCCAAATTGTCTTATTTTTCGGGGGCTTCGTCCCGGTTCCCTGACCACTTTCGAAAGATTTTGAGCTACGCCCGACCACGTAAACTTTGCTCTCGTCAGTGTAAAATTGTCTTATAGGCTAATTTAAAAAAAAATCAGTAGGCCTACTGTTTCAAACCTTTAAAAAATCCAGTACTGTTATCAAACCTCAATTACTGTATAATGTGTAATTCAGTATCTAAGCCGTTAAGAATATTTCAAACATTATTTTCTAAACTAATTCCTCCACGATTTAACCAGATTGATATATTTCACTTAAAATTGTTCATAGAATTAATTAAACGAAGAGAAGTAACTTACTAATTGGTACTGACATTATGTGTAACGATTAACTCTGTAACGTATACAGTTTCCGCCGTACTAGACTGTGGAGAGGCGATTCCCAACATTTGTGTCATTCGAGTCATTTATAGGCTTACGTGTAAACGCAACCAATTCTATACTTTCTGTGTCATGTTTAATGCCTTTAAAAAACAAAACTATAATACAATTCACAAAGAAACATGCTGTAAGCACGTGAATACCCCGAACGTAGTATGTAATTACGCTTATAACATGTGAAATCCTACAAACACACTCTTTGGCAGATTTATTAGAAGGGGACTCTCCTACTACTAATTACTGCATATTTTGTAAGTCCGAATACTACGTTTGTTTCCAGTGGGGTCCTTGTGTTTGGCTTCATACATTGACAGCTGTACCATTGTTGGTGTTTGGTGCATGCAACTCCTTAAATGTATAACAACATCATATACTGAGACCCCACAAGCTATAAAACTCAATTTCGCCCAAATGTCAATTATTAACCTTTGTCGTACACTCTCCGGAAAAGAGGAGGTTATAAATTTTTGTCTCCCAGTGTACATAAAAAAAACAAACAAACTATGGTATACACCTAAACTTGGAGGATCTCTACCATAAGCAAACAGAATAATCGTGGTCAATATGATGGGGAAAAATATAATTGGTTTGGTGGTAAGATGAAATAGGTCTATGCATCTTAGTTCCAATTCTGGAAACAATAGTTCGCACTCAGTTATTACACAAAGAAAGAAAGACTAAGTTTAACAACGACTAATCATATTATTTAAAATCACTTTTATTCAAAAACACAAAGAAAACACATTGCAAAAACATAAAGCAAACTCCCTAGAATCACGTTCAATAAACGACATGACAGGAGACAGAGCCCAAACAGATTACAAAAAAAAAAGAAAGACAGAAGATGTAAGGAAAGGGAAGACAAGACAGACAAGGAGAAAAGACAAATATATCAAAATATTTAAAAAATAAATATAAATATGGATATTGAGTAGGAGAATTAAAATTAGAATTATTAAAAATAGTGAAAATTGAGAAATTGCAAATTTGAATACTTTATTAAGGTAAAAATCGGAAAATTGCATTAGTAAGAAATTTTCAAATTCTTAAAAGAGGTGGGTCGGCCCACGTGGGTTCATCTTTGGCATGAAAAATTGAGAAGGATGAAATAATCTGGAAAGACCTTGAACGGTATGGGTTTATTGCACAGTTTATGTAAACATTTTAAACGTTCAATGTTATCGGATGAGATGAACCCACGTACGTGAGCCGATTTCAATAAGGATAAGGTTAACCTGCCTCGTGGCCAGAAACCAGAGGTGAATATTTATTAAACTTCATTAATTGTGCATTGGTAACTTGGGTTTCAAATGGAATGGTTAGTTCCAAATTGACAAGCTTTTAAGATTTGGCCAGAAGAGGCAAATGTCTGGGATTAGATCGGTTGCAACACATTCAATGGGAATTGTGGATGAATGAATATTGGCCACGAGGTCACATAGAATGCGAGGAGGGGAAGCAGTGGATTTAAATGTTTTGTGTTCTGTGGCACCTATACTATAATATACTATCCATGTTTGAAAATATCTGGTTTTAAGCTTAAATGATATAAATTCAGAGAGCCTTATTAATTTATTATTGGACGATTTTTCACCTATTAATAGTTTCTTTTTTGTACTGATTCTTACATTTTGGTACCGAAGGATACTAATGTACCAACTTTATTTGAATGAACCTTGTTCAACATAAATTTCATAGCAATAATATGCCTTAAGACATAATTTTCATCTGAAATAATATTTAGGTCTATATTAGCATTAAACTGCTTTTAAGTGGCATTTCCAAGCATGGATAATATTTTGTGATCGAAGTACAATACAAATATATCATCTGAATTAATGTAAGCTTAAAACTGGGCTTTAGGTGGCATTTGCAAACATGGATAGTATTTTTGTGAGTATAAGGTGCCAAAGAAGGCAAAACAACCCTGAAATGGCAGGGTAAAAAATCGTCCAATTTCGACAAAAACAAACGAGAGCTTTGCGTTTTTACCAAAATTGGACGATTTTTCACCTGGTAGTTTTTCTATTGATTTTTAAGTTATGGTACCCACGGGGAAGGTCTATTATCCTTTCTAGTTAAACAATCTGTTATCTTTTCAAAAATTATTAATGATAATAATGATGATAGGCCTATTACTGCTAATACTAAGTTAACTGTCAATCGATGATTCTTGAGAATCCTGCAACTGAAATCCCGTTTACTTTCCTAAAAGTTGAGTACATATTAAATATAATATGAAACTTTTTAAAACTAGGCCTTTGTTGAAGACATTAATTAAGACATTGTCTTATTATGTGTATAACAATGCATCTCTATTCTCAAAGTGTATTTCTGGAAAACATGTTTTCACTAATGTGAGTACCTGACACACTGATTTTCGTTTGACTAGCAGCTGGCCCTCTTTAAATAATAATGAATGTACTTCCATTCTAAGCCATTACATATGCTCCAAAACTACACACAATGCTGGTTAATTTATATACTATACTATTACGCAAATCTGTTATTATTTTAGCCATGTTTCACATATGTATTATATGAAATTAATGATATAATTAGTCCAGAAATCCTAGCTTTTGAAATGGAACATATTGCAAAAAATAAATTTAATTAGTAATAAAAAAAAATACACATATTCAGGGTTAGGTAGATATATAAATAGTAGCTTATCTGGATGATGTAACGTCTGTAAGAAGAGGAATATATCAAAATGCTAGGGTAATAATTGTCATAGTGGTTGCATTTCAGTCCATCAGTCTTTTATACCGATGTTATAACATTGACTGTCTTGGTTTGTGCACATTATATTGCAGTAAGATATGTATAATCCCCATGAGCAGAGACGGGTTTTTTTTTTATAAGAACCAGTAAAATTTTGCCCGCTCAGTGTTCTTATATTTCGGCCGATTGTAGGCTCAAAATGTTCTTTTTTTGTTCTTATGTTAGACACTTTTGAAACATAGAAAATCTTTACTGTATCAGTATACACTGTACTGGAATATAGATAAAAGTGGCAGAGGAAAAAATGGCTCCTAAAAAAAGGGCCGGGCCCCTGAAAAAACGTCTCCAGAAAAAAGGCCCCGGTAAAAATGGCCCCAAAATGACAGGTGGTACACCTACTGTACTGTATTATAGAGGGTATTACATAGTCACACCTACTGCACATAAGGTACAGATATCATTTTTTGGGTTTTCTAGTTTTTTTTAAATAAAAATCTCATTTGACATTTTATCTCGGCTTCAATTTGTTCTTAATTGTTATTAATATTTAAGCAATTTCAGCCTCAGCATGTTCTTATAAAATGTGTTCTTATAAAAAAAAAGTGTAGGCTATATTAGATTGAAGAAGCCTATAATTTTTGGTGAAATGAGACCAAATTAATCACCATGACCAGTAATTATGAAGGCAAATAAAAATGCAAAGCGACCTTCTGGTCAGGATCATGGGTAGGGTAACTTTTACACAAAATTTAACTGTGCTTAAACCTTAATAGCTTGAATAATTTCATTCATAGAAGTTACACGTTTATATTGTATGTTTATTTATATTTAATTTCTGTCAGTATTAATATTTTCATTGTACTTTGTTAATTGTGTATGGGCGAGTGTGTCTGTAAAGAGTTTTTAGAAAGAACCAATGAATCTGAATCTAAGAAAAAGTCATCCGAATAACTTGAATTCAGAATAAAAGCGGCTAAGATAAAGAAACCTTGCAAAATCGGGTCAAATGTCAAAAGGTGTTACTGTTTGAACAAATTTTACAGCGAGACAAAATAGATACATGCATGTTTTGAACAATTTGAAAAAGAAAGCAATTCTGTACAACTAATGTTTGCCAAGGTAACTCTATCTCATATTTAATTTGCATATTTATGCTAATTTGTTTATAAAATAAAGTGATCTCTTGAATTTCATTTTGCACTGTTACATTTCACTACATTACTAATTTGATATAGCGTCCGTAAAGGCGCTGTACATTGAAATTTGAATTATAGTCCATAAACTTGTTGAAAAAGGAGGGTTTTTAGTTTTCTTTAAGCTAGCAAAGTTAGTTTCAGTCGGAATTGACACCGTGAGATTGTTCCATAACCGTGGAACTGTCAATCCAAGCGACCTTTAAGCGAAGGTTCTCCTGGTTGTTGTGTGGTTGTTTTTGGAAATCCTGCAAAATAAAGGTCTGGTCAAATGTCACATTTCCGTTCACTATGGGAGACAATGTAACAATAAAGCAAACAGAAATGTGTATGTTCTGAACAATTTTAAAAAGAAAGTACGACCGGTGATTGCCAAGTTATGCTGTATCTCCATCCCTAATTTGCATATTTAAGCTAATTTGCATGTTAACTGCATCTGTGTATTTTTTTTTTATGAATAAATAAAATACTGTAACTGTTTGTAATTTGTTCCATTTCAAATGCTAGCTTATATCATGGAGGTTATTCCTCCATGGTTATATGGGCCTTATTAAATCATTAATGGCATAAATTAAATATAAATGCTAAAAATAGCTAATTAATTTTTTGAATATTACATATTTGAAGTGAAATATTAATATTTTTATCGTCATTTATGTGAAAGATTATTTAATACATTAGCATCATTTTAATGTCATATTGTTAATAAAATGTATAAAAATGACCGCAATTTTTAAATTTCCCATACTTTTTATATTCAGTGATGTCTATTTTACAACACATCCAATTTTTACAAAATATAGCAACAAAAAATGCAACCTTTGATTTTGCTACAGTTCGTGTCACACTATGATGTGACCTGTAAAATGATGAGGATGATTAGGAACACGACACCACACACCAAACCAGCCATCGTCCATTTTTTCGCCGACGTAGCTGAAGCCAGTGCTGCATCATCATCCCCGCGCTTGAATTTACATATACTCTGAAAGCAAATGAATAGATTAATGTAATCGACATAGTCTTATTAACTTTTTTCTGCTCCACTAGCTATAGGCCAAGGTAAGTTACATACCATACATATGCCTACAGATGT